CATAAATAGGAGTTTAATATAAATAAATAAATACGTGCGAGGGCGACGTGGGGGCGAGAGGGGGAGAGGACGGTTACTGTAAGGGGATGAAAGACATCGACATCGATACGGATGCTGTGTGCCTCACTCTCGGTCCAGCACTTTGGCGTAGTGACGTCATTTCAGGAAGATATCAAGGAGACGAGTTTCCCCAAGATTAAACGAGCTACCTCGTCTACGTAGAAACGTGGGTACGTCATCTATTCTTATCTGTGACGGCGCTGGGGCTGCTAGTTAGTTCGCTACCCCCGGCGAGCGAGAGGCGAGAAATACGGGAGGGCGAAAGTTTCACTGTGGTTAAATATTTTGGGCTTTGTGCATTTGACGTGGGTTTACTTCGGACCGTATAAATAAATAAATAAATGAGCAAGTGGACGCTCGCTTGACTCGGCGCCATTAGGGCCATCGTACTTTGGTTCGAGGCTTCGCCGCCAGATGGAACGCTTCCCCTTTTTTTTAATTCCAGGACTCCGCGTAGTAGCATTCATGGCGCCGTAAGACGCATGGGCGTGTTTCTTACTATAAAACATTTTACGTCCGTGATCGTTGTTTTTAAGACGCTGGAAGTTCACTCTGTACCGGGTTAGTTTATTTCCGTTTTATTCTACTTTAGTTCTGGGTATATCTCAATAGTGCTTTCCGTTCGTTCTATGCGAAGCCCAGCTCGGAGAAAACCTAGTGGGGAAACTGCTGTACGTATGTACATAGGCTGGCGCTTGTTTCTCGAAGAAAAACAAAGTCCAAAAGAAATATTAGAGCGAAGAGTTGTTATACGCTTTTTTTGTAAGTTTGACTCCTTTGTTTTATAGCTGCTGTATACTTTTATCTATTTCATTTATTTTTCGTCTTCGGCAATGCTTGCGTAACACTCGACTACTTGGAATGGACCATTGATCTGGAAAACATGAAAATCTACTGACGAGTCTTTAATGAATAATTGACCAAGTCAAGTGTACAAAATGCACAAATCATTCGGCACTTTTGGCGAGTGAAGTAAGGGTTTGGGCTTGTTTTTTTTTTTCCTTTTTCTTACAGGATCTCCTTCTTTGGCTACGGTGATTAATTACGTCAGATCCGCCTAAGTCTATTTGTATAAATTGGAAAAGGTCGAATATAATCATTGTAGTATCTTAAGCTTGTTTATTCCACTGAAGTTTCGAGCTACATAGCTATGCCTATAACTGTATAGTATTTTTAGTTTTTTTTTTTAAGTTATTTTCCCCACTTCGATCGATATAGACTGGCACACGTTATCCTTGCCCTGAGTCCTTTAACGGCTGAATGGTACGATATGATCCTATGCATAATAGTCGTGCTGCTGCTGATATAGCCAACCTCGTATAAATATAATGGCGTACAATTTTGTTTTAGAATTAAACAAAAAAAACCGATACTGATATTATATTATACATTCTTTATCATTTTTTTTTCTTTTTTCTGCATTTTCCTCGAATCTCTTTTCTCGGAAGAGAGATAAGAAATTTAAATAATTAATTTGGAATGTTTGATATTTTTTCGAAACTGCTTCTCTTGAATTGAACAGGTATCTCATGATATCGCATACATAATACACTGTAAAATATTCTTGGTCCCACAAAAATGGTATAATTTTGTTTTGCCGTGATTTAATAAAATCTAAAATATGTCTAAGTAATACCTTTTTTTTTAACAGTCAACGCTTCTTCCTTTTTCTACTTTCCTTCATATTCGGTAAAACAACAAGTATCGAGAATACGAATGCAAATACGTTACTCTTCATGGAATTCGATAACGTTTCTCTTTTGTCGAAAGATCTACATTCGTATATATACGTTACTGCCTTAGATATGCATACACAATAGTAATACAGGTCCTACGGAGATACCGAATTCCCTGAAAAGGGATAAATAGGGGGTTTCTTTATAGTCGAATATATTTACCACCCCTAACCATTGAGAGGCGAGGGTACATTTATTCGGAATTTTCGAACGGTGAATTTCGTTTAAATATATTCGAAAAATCAAGTCATCCGTGATAAAAAGAAAAAATAATAATTTTTAATAAGAGAATCGCAGGTTGCTTTTCCACCATTCAAATTTCACGATGCAAAGCGACTTTACGTGTTTCGGCTCAGAGGGCCCCTTTTTTTTTTATACCACGGTTATCCCGCGAAATTTTTAATTCTTTTATGTTCCTACAAACACGTATATCCACTGCTCCTGCGCGCATCTAATTTTCTAACGTCTCGCATTAAATTTCTAAACTTCAATTTCACTTTCGTATCCCACGATCATACATAATGCATTACCATATGCAGTATACATTATAATCGCAATTTATGAGACGTGTATCGTTATTGTTTCTGTTATATTAAATGCCCACCGATAGCACGTGGTTTCTGTAGTTCAGTATCGTTCCCATGTACAACGCGCACGAGTAATCCCTTAATACTCGATTAACGTTACTTTCGGAGTTGCGTCAGCGCTAGTCACGATAACACAATTAACGCGATTTCGTAAAGCTTTTCGATAGTGATGGTATTTGGGGGTGGGGGCTGAGATTTACATTAATTTTTTTAAAAAAAAAAAAAAAAAAAAAAAAAAACAGTGGCTCATTTTTCAGAACCGAAGAGAATGAAAAAAATTTTATCATAGCCATAGTGGAACGAAAGATCTAGGTAGAGAAAATGTTTTATTCAAAAAAAAAATTTTTTTCATGTCTGTGCTCTCCTTAGGATTTTAAGAGCGTGCCTTTTTTTACCTGTTCACGTAATATTGAGAGGCTGGTGCCTTTTTTTTTTCCTTTCAAATTTTTTTTTTAATTTCATTCGCAATACATCTCTTCACGCACTGCGCCTTCGTTACGCTTCATGTAACGTGAGAGATTTCCCTGGGTTAAGTACTTGGTACAATGCGTCATGGTCGTAGGCAATTGGATTTAGGCAATCGCGTATCCGTAACGAGTCACGAGTTTGTAATTTAGCCGAGTTCTCGGAGCAGCGATTTCGAGTCTGGTTGTGGCTGAGGGGCCAAGGGGCTGGAGATACTTGGGGGTGGCTCTTGGTTATGCCAAAAGCATCAACCCCTGATTTATAGGTAGGAGACACAATACTTTTCCAGCGGTAAAAGACGCTTCTGGTACATTAATAATTTTTTTTTTCCTACCCTTACCAGGGACAGTGCTGAATTAATCGAATGATAATGAAACGCTCTTTGAGGGGTTGATCGAAAATGCCGCTTTGATAATTTGCGAAATTTCCAAAAAATTTTTTCGGATCAATTCCCGGTCGCGCAACGCTTGCAGATGGAAGGGATATTTCGATATCGCGCACGGAAGTGGATGCGTAATTTATGGATGGGGCGAAATCTGTTTTTAAGGGTGGTGGTGGTGATGTATTTTATGTTTAGGCAATTGAAAAAAAATTTTTTTTTTTTTATTTACGGACGTCAAAATTTTACGCGATTCAATCGTGCGACAAATTGCAACATTTTTTCGCGAGGGACATTGCCAATTTAAATGTCGACTACCCGCGTAGCACCGACGCGGGTAATGATTTTTTAATTTTTCAGGTACGCCTTGACTTTAACGTATGGCGATTACTGTCGTTGGCCGTCGCGGCGCGGAGCGTCGTGTTTGTATTCGCGTGTAAACTTCTTAGAGCAGCTGGTTCGTAAAATCAGAAATTTTTTTTCGAAAAAGAAATTTTTTTCATGTGCAACCATTAAGCCTCGGTGTCGGGTTCTCTTCGTCTGCGTCGCAACCTCATTTTGTGGGTGGAAAATTTTTTCTTTTTCTTTTTTTTTTTCTTTCTACTACGAAACACCTGCTCCTTTGCGGTAACTTGAAGTGGGTCGTTTGGGGGGTGATAATGGCGTTTTTTTTTTCTGTACTCTAATATTTTACCGAAAAAAAATGTTAGCCGAGCGGAGTCTCTAATTTCTGAGAAATATTCAGCTGGATGCGAATAATGAGATTACGTGAGAAAGTGAGGTAGTCTTCTTCATTTTTTTAAATTACGGACTTCTTCTTTTTTTGCGAGATTTTTTTACTGCTAAGTTAATTCGCCTTGAAAGATTTTGGAATTTTTTTTTTATTTTGTCAATTACATTAATAGCGCAGAAAACATGCTGCGCGCAATTCGGACTGTACGTCAGTGAAATTTTATATTCGTTTTGTACAGTCAATTTGGTTATGATAGCCATTTCGTAATATCAGTAGTAAATTTATTAATTATACGCGTAAGTTGAGTAACCCTGTAACGCAATGAGTAACCCTGTACAATTTTTCCTATGCTATCAGCTAACCATTAAGCAAGATCCTCAGTCATGTCAAAGTTATTTCAGATTCGGTATCTCGCGATCTAGAACAAGCCCTAAAGGCACCCTTTCAACGGAGCGTCAATTTACGTAGTTGAAAATTTCATTTGAATTACACGTAACCGCCAGTTTCCACGATATGGGCATTTTCTTCACAATTTCGCATCTCGTTAAACGTCTCAAGCCTCGTTTACGTCATTTACATTGAAGCTGTCACAGTGTCTCGTGTGAATGCACCTTAATCGCCTGAATCTTTAATTTTACGTGATTTTACGGATAAAAAATTTAATGGATCACCGGAGCGTATGAAATTTTGAAAACAATTTCGATATTAAAATTTCAACTGTAGTAATCGCAGGATTACGCAGGCGATCTATTAAAATCACAAAAAATTTTCATTGCTGACGATCCTGATAAAATTCTGTAAATTTCGCTGATAAATCATTAATTTGGATTAACATCGTCCGGTCAACATCTGGAATCTCTGACCAGACAACAGATCAGACCAAACAGGTACCACTCGTCGCACAGCATCCAAAAGTAGTGGGGGTAAAAGGGGCGGCCCCTACGGGCACTTCGGGTTCTGGCACGTACCTGTTCGGGTCTTGTCGGTACAGCCGAACGCTTCGCATCGCTTCGGCTCAGCTTCGCGGCTCAAAGGCTCTTCGGTTCCGCGTAAACGCGCACAGCATTCGGCACGTCTGTCGGACGACTTGCCGCTGGCCTCTGCGTCTGACTAACAACCAACCTTACCTACTGATCGCCTGAATCGGAAAACAAGCGCGCCCCACGTATTTACACGAGTTTCGTCGTTGCCTCGCGTGTCACCCAAAAGACTTTATCGATTTGAATATTTGACTTTTGCCGCCCTTTTGCCTCAATCCTTTCTCGGATAATCGAGGAGGGTGCAATTTTTCATTTGGAAAAAAAAAAATAAATCGAGGCTGAATTTGTACTTTTGTGAAGTGCACTTGGCGAATTCTCGTGCTATTGTAACAGACTTTTTTTGGCGGGAAATTTGTCTTTCCATGACGCGCGACAGTGCGGATTTAAATGTGTGCGTGAAATTAACACTGTGCTTGGCTACGTGACTGTGCGGCTAAGTCTGTGCAATTGGTATTGTCGATTTGGACGGGAAAAGTGCGAAAAATTTGAAATTTCAATTTTTCTCACCTTCGTTATCTATCCTTGACTTTATCAATTTTTCGATCTAACACGTGGTCCATTTTTATTTGAAAAAAGTGCACTTGCCAGTAAAGTGCATTCGCTTAACGTCTGATTCATACTACGTGGAAGGTAGTGGAGAATGAGCGTGGTGGCTGCTTTTATCACTAAGAAGCTTATCGCACATTGACGAAGCTTATCTCGTTCTCGGAAACTGATTTTCTCCTGGTCCAGTCGTTCCAGACTGTTTTAAACTTTCCAAGGACCACTTTGCTCCTGTGCGTTACGAAACTTGGAAGATCATACGTATCATCATGATTCCCGTCGAGGGTCGATGATTGCTATCAGTACGCGCAACTAAAGGGTTAATAAGATAATATGGTTACGCCTCGTTTCGACTGGCTTAGAATTCAACTGGATAGTCCGAGACGTGACAGAATTACCTGATACGTGTATCCTGACTCGTGGCGAGTGGAATTGCTCGTGGAACATCCCCTGGGTAGGGATGTACGTGAAAAAATGTACCGTCCTAGGAATAATGATAAAGCTAAATAAAAATGCCCGATTGGAACGAAGAACCGGATGAGAAATTAAACTGTGGAAAAAAAACCTCCAATTCACGCTTCTTGCCCAATAATTAATTCGACTTTAAAAACTGTGCGTAAGATCGACAATTCGCTAAGCGAAAGGAAAAAGAAGTTTGTCGGGGGTTAACAAGGGTCGAGCATACCGAAGAAAACTGTTGGGAAGGAAATCCTGTGTTGTCCAAGAGAAGGGATCGGAGTTTCTCTTTTTGAGCAAAAAGAGAAACATGTTTCTTTAATTAAAAGTGGAGAACGACAGTTCGGACGTTTATACCGGGTGTGATAAAAATTTTTTAAAAATTTTTCTCACTGTTGCCACAAATTCAAGATGCAGTGGGAGGTCAATTTAGTGTTCAAAAAAAAATTTTTTTTTTTCTAATTGAAAATACGTGAGTGATAATCGTGAGTGATAATAAAGGGGAAACATTTTTTTTTTTGAAAATCAGTCACGTTCACTTTGATACTGTGGGTGTCACGTGATGATACGTTGTACGCGATGTGCCGTTTCGGTGTCTGTTTAAAGAGGGTCGATCGTCCCTGAGGAATTATTATCTTCATAGGTTCCAGGGTGTTCGGCTTGAGCTAGCTTAATGAGTGCTTCAATCAAGAGTCTCGTAACCTGAAGAAGCGATCAAGATCGTCTTCGTCCTCGTGACTTAACTCGTAGGGATTTACCCTGAAGGGGGATGACGAGACATAGTGGCACGTAGGGGTTGGCCCTTCTCGTTTCGGAGATGAGGCTCTCTGGGCAACGTACCACCCTTACCCTGACCCTCGTCCTCCTGGCCATTTATACGAGCGCCGTACGAGCTGGTGAGCAGGGTGAGTCATTTTTTTGTAATTTTTTTTTTCTTCAGTTTCTTTTCTTTTTTCTCGCATCCTCCCCCTCTCTGCTCTCGTTTTCGAAAGGGGGACGGGAAAAGTATCCCGAAGGGACTAACGAAAAAGTATACGGGAACGACTGGTCGGAATGATGATTCAGTTTTGTTAGATTAACGATAATGGGGATGACGCGGATATTACTTTTTTCTCCGAAATATTATATTTTTGCCGAAAAATCTATCGAGCCATCCCTATGGATTGAGATTAGTATGAATATGGATATACCTGCGATGAAATCTTGTGATGTAATCTTTGGCCTTCTTTTTTTTTATCTTGTTTTTACTCATCGTTGCTGACGTCAGCTTCGGCTCCTGATTACTCCTTGTCTTCGAGCTGTTATCTGTTGGTATCGATCATTGATAGTTTTCTTTTGGTCAGATTTTATTTGGGTGTCGTGATTTATGAAATTTCTTTTTTCGTAATAATTTTTTATTTTAATTTCTAATTTTTGGTAATATTGTTTTTTTTTATTCTTTATTTTTCGCGATTTAATTAGCAACGATTGTAACTGACTTTTGGGGGTTGGAACGAGTTTGTTATTTGCTACTTTTCAAATTAAAAATTTTAGCTAACGAGAAATACCGGATACGACTTCGGACCGGAATTTTGCGTAAACGTATTAAGGTAGCGTGCACTCAGAACGATATTAATTAATATCAAAGTACTCGTAACCATGAATGTTGTATAATTGATCAATAACTCGGGAATATGACAGCGAATGTATTAATAATATTGTGTAAATTGTTTTTTTTTTTTTTTCCCCTAAACTTCTCCTTACGACCCTTGTAAACTTTTCTCGAAAAATTTTGAAACGATATGTGGCCAATGTATGCCACGTGTAACTCACACGTGTCTAATATAGAAACAGTTGATAGTTCCGAATATAAAGTAAAAAAAATGTTATGTATTTCTGTTTCCCAGTAGTAGACACTGAGATTGGTCAGCCGCAATATATATATATATACACGTTTATGTTACACAGCTGTTAAAAATCGCACAGTGAAAGGGTTCCGTAATGATACAAGCATAACAAAAAATGTCTCTATAAACTTAAACGTGATGATAATTTGCATAAATTTTTGAAAAGGCCAAGTCGAATTGAATTAGGGTCAAAGAAAAATGAACGAACTACAGAAATTGGATGATTTCATGGGTAATATATTTTTGGAGTTTACATCTCTTAACGGAAAGTGACGTAACGCCGTCGCTGCGTCACCCGTAACAGTCTACGATTAATAAGCTGTGACGTATGGACTGTAGATTTTTGGTACAGTGAAAATGAAGTAATTTCTAGGAAATTTCTTTTTTTTTTCTTTCTTTAATAACGATATTGAAATTACCAAAAAATTCAGTATATAAAATTATATTATATAGCATAGGGTTTTTTAATTCGCCTGATTGTGAATGTACATTTTCTACTTAAAAGGGATTAAGAAATACTATAACGCTCATTGCGGGTTCTCCCCGAAAAACAAGCCGAACATAAAATGTTGGAATTTCTCTCGTGAAATTTCCAACCCTTGCCGTCGTGAAAGTCCAACCCTTAACGTGTAACTATTCGGCCCCGTGCTAAATCCTGGAGATTTTGAGCAAGAGAGACTAAGGCATAGGACAGAAAATGCATTACAATATATTGTAACGTATACATCCGAGGATATTCGTATCGCGGTAATAATAAGAGATCCCGCTAACCCGAACAACCTTAAATATCAAGTAATAACAATTCGTAGGCATCGCGACGCTCAATTCCTCCGCACCTCTCAGGCCCCCTGGCCTACCATTGACGGGTATATAAACGGCGACGTTTCGCGACTCGAGCATTCTATCACCTGAGCTAGCTAGCTTACCTTTAGTATAGTAAACGAGCAAACCGTCTCGGGCAAGCGGGCAAACCGTCCCACTTGACCATCATATCCAGAGGTACTTCTACTCTTGTATCGAGCAAACCGTCTCCTCTGCCTGATAGAATCAATCTCTGCATTTCAGTTGGGCCGTCACTTTGATACACTTGATCATTGTGCCGTTTCCGCTACACATGCCATCCTAACTTTACTTAAAGACTTGCACAACTAGCTACTTTGCGAATGAGACTTCTCACCTCGCCAAGATAGCAACGTTGTTTTAGATAGGACCACGTCTACCTGTGATCACGAGTTCCCTAGTGGAAGACTGCTCAACAGCACGACGCTTATATTATAACGAGTGAACTCTGTAATCAAATTCCGCTGGTCGGATGCTGCTTTCAGACACGATTCCGTATTTCATAGAAAAACAACCAAATTCAAGATAGAATCACACGAGAGTAGACGCACCTATTTTTTCCGTTCCCGTCACGTGTATATATATATATATATATATATATATATATATCGTGTAGGGAAACCGCGTCTTACAATCATATTTATACAATTTACTTTCCGAACACTAATCAGTTGTATATATCATTTATAATCATTCTTACTTTCCGCTTGCGTATATATCTATTCTTCGTTTACTAACATCCAGCATTCTCTAGGCTGGACCTGCACTAACACTGGTTGTATTCCGTTGTAGGATAATATATTTTTCTTTTGTAATTTGTAAAACAAAATCTCACTTTCATTTGTTCCGCCTGATATTTTTCCTAAATTCCTAACAGTCGATTCTGGCTCGAACCCGCCTTTTTGGCACAATCCGGAGAACCGTATCGTGCGAATAAGATTACAATATATATATATATATATATAGGGCGAGATAAAACAGCCCTTAATATGGAAAATTCAGGCCTTTCGAATCGGGTTGAATTTTTAGCCTCTATCTCAGTATATCGTAAGGGATGGTAGGACGGTCCTCGTGATGCCTGGGTCATCTGTAAATGTACGGAATTGTTATTCACCCCTATTCCTACTCCGCCCATTCAGCACCCTCCCCTCCTTCTCTTCAAACGGGTATCGCCGTTCCGCAATTAACGAACATTCGTCTCGTTATTTTCACGGTCAGGATGATTCACGTGAACCCCACCTCTACCCTCTGAACACGTAATCCCTGTGTAAATTCGTGTAATTTTTGTTCAACCCCTCTTCTACTTCTGTCGATTTAACGCCATCGAAACTACCCCGTGCATTTACGCTACCTGCCGACGTTCCTCTTTGGTGCTTTGGGTATCGCGAAATACGTTTGAAAGTTTTTTCTCTTCGTATATATTTTTCTTTGACCTAAACTTTTTTTTGGGGGTGGTTTTCGCAAATTGGAAACGACGTACGTTAATCGACGGAGTTTTTGGCGATAGGACAATCATACATAAAAAAAAATTTTCTTGGTAATTTGTCACAATAATATATTCCATAAGGATCACAATAGTATATTGTGCACCGAGAGCGAAAACGGGCGTTTCTGCGTCGCGTATAAAGTTGAGGTTCCCGAGGCGAAGCCGAGAGGTTCTCGACTTTATACAAGGCACAAACGCACGTTCTCTCTCGCGGTTCACATACTATTTTCTTCGACAGCGGAGCGGATGAGGGCTTTCGCGTAGTGGGTGATTTGTGGGTCGGTGCAAATAAGCAGGTTAGTTTGGTGACTTAGGAATTCAGAATGAAACATCTGTACATCGTACGGCTTACGTGAAAAAAACAATTGCCCCGGTGGCAGCTGGTCGTTGGATTCGTCGGCAAATGTCACCTCGCTCCTATTCAATTTTTCAATCTTCCACGTTCGCCTATTCGAGAATTGACTGTTTTCGCTCCTCCCGAGCGGAGCGATAACGAGCGTTTTCGCTCCGCTGTTGAAGAAAAAGATTTTCAAAACTTCACGAATTTTGGTAACTTCGAAATTTCCTCCTTTTACCTTTATCGGGAGTTTGGGGCGAGGAAGCGACTTATTGACGCCCAATCCCCCTGGGAATTTATATCCGTCAAAGTCAATTTCTTGCCGGAAGTGTCTATCTAAAGGCGAACGGAAGTGCAGTACGGGGACGAAGAAAGGGGGGTAGCGGGTTGGGTTAAAGCAGCAGGACGTAATTTGCGGAAATTCATTTCGGCGTTAAAAAAGGAAAAGGGAGATTCGAACCACGAGGGAAAGAGAGAAAATAAAAGTACGCGGTGTACGGATGGACCGAAGTTTCATTCAGCATCCCAATGAAAAGTTTTGAAAATAAAATTTGTTCAGTCCGAATGTTCCCGGTGGGATAAGAGACTTGATAAACTTTTTTTTTAGTCGCAATTCTCTGATTCCTTCTAATTCTCTCTTTCCCCCTCTTTCCCTCGGCCACCTTTAACCCGACCAAAAGTCTGTCGGCGAGTATAATTAAGGTCACGAGTCTTCGCGAGAATCTCGAAAAAAATAATTGGCCAAATTCACGCAATATTTTTCCGGGACACGATATACTCCACGTCTTCGGTATCTTATTTCCGGTATTAATTTTTTTCAAATAAAATTTCAAAATTTTCAACTCGCGCCCCTAAAGCCATCCTCGCCCACTCGTTAAATGAAATTTTTAAATTTAAACAAATCCCGGGCTAATTCAGCAACGACCGAGCCATGAAATTCAACTTGAAATTCCAACGAAAGTGTATATGGACCAAATGAAGCTGCGTCTGTTGGCTGCAAGATGCTCGGGGATTTAATCGCGATTACTCCCAGGGAGAAGTTACGCGGAATATACTATAGTCTCAGACATTGCCTCTCGGCAGGAGCAAAGTGTCTCTTGACTATACGAACGTCACTCGTGATTATCCGCTTTATCGAAATTAAGGAGCCGACAAGATTTTAGGTACGGTTTAGGTTCATTAGGTAAAATCTGTCGTAGCACATTTGAAAAATTTCAATCACCCGGTATAAAGTCGATCGCCGTGCCGAATAAAAAAAATTAAATCTATTAATCCTTACTCGCACCTCTACTGGTGTCAATCGGTGTAGCGAGTGTCACCTGTTATCGGCAGTGTGGCAATTTGAGTTCGGCACGA